AATGTTTTCAATTTTTTCTTTCTTTTCTCCTTTCCTTTCATTTTCCTTATCCCCTTATTTTCCAATTTGAAATTACTAAATATTAAATTGTGATTTTCTTAAGCCAGGGGAACGCAAACTAAGCAACTTAAACTTCAGAAGAAAATAACAGAAATCTATTTATACACATAAACCATTTTCATACCTGCCTACTGACAATATTTCAGAGTAATATGGCCTACATCAGTTTTCCAGGATTGTTCTTTTTACTATGTGTTTGTCTCTCTTCCTCCTCTTATTTTTTTTCTTTGCAGGAGATAAGATTTCACAATGAGCATTCCTAATAATATGGGATCTATTGGTCTAGGAATATACCATCATAGCCATGAGAGATCAGACAAAATTCAAGACCAGGGAGTAACTTTCTTCTAAAATGCTTTCTTCAAAAGGTTTTAAAAGGAAAAAGGCAGGGGTGTGAAAAGAAAATAAAAACTTGAGACCCCAATTCACTACGACAAAAGAAACAAAATTAAGCTAAAAGCTGAGTTCTGCAAAAAGATGCCTTTCCTTAAGCAGACAGCTACAGATAAAAGGTTAAATCTTTCCACAGGTAGCTAGTCTATGTTCACCTTATCTTGTGTAAAGTGTCGATTTACTGAGCACAAGACATATAAACAATTGACCATTCCCTTACCTGCTAGCTTTTGTCTTGCGACATGTGAATTCAGTAATGTGACCATACATTCCCATTTTTTCCTCCAGCCTGCTTTTCCCCTTTAAGTATTTAAGCCCTCAAAATCACCTTTGGAGAAAGGCCCAGGCCTGTCTCCTGGGTGCATCCTTCACCTGGATAAGGTAAACTTCCAAATTGATTGAGACCTATATCAAGTATTTTTTGGTTTACAACCCAATCTCTGTGGCCCTATTCAACTGGATAGGACTACAACTGTAAGTAAATTTATATATATGTGTGTGTGTGTGTGTATATATATATATATAAATATATATTTTATATTTCATGTATATATAATATATATTTTTTAATTTTTATATATATATCACTAAAAAGTGACTATGATTAGTTTCTTGATTTCTTCAAAGACTTCTCTGTGGGGATTAAAAGGCTTTGACATGGATTCCAGGGTTTTCAATTCAAAACAGAGGTGACTGTAGTCAAATAACTCTAGTGAGTCTTGGTTTCTTCATTTAGCACTGTGCTTAGCAGTACTTTTTCCCTGTTTATGAAAATGCCAATATAATTTAATGCCTCATAATTTTGTGACAAAAGCAAAAGGCAGAATTATTACCTTTACCAATTTGCAAATGAAAAATTAAATGATCTTCCCAAGTCATCAACTAGATTTTTGGACTAGGTCTTTTGACTATTACAGATCTCTTTTCCATCAGCCTCCATTACATAGGTTATCAGAATTCATAACAATGCTGTTCTTTAACAAAAGAATATTTAAATGGATCAAGATTGTAAAGTGATTCACAAGATACTAATCTTCTAGAATTATAAGTCAATTCTAAGAAGATTTTTAGATGTTATTTATTGCATATCTTTTTTTCATTTTAATTATATTTATAAGTGTCTCTTGATCTATCAAGAACCAAAGGGAAGATACCAAAATATTTCTAAATGTTCCACATTAATAAACTCTTTGCTTTCCCTCTAAGACCTGGAACACAACAATAATGCCCACTGTCACCACTGTTATTTAACATAGTAGCCTTAACTACTAAAATAACATAGTTAACACTACTTATTATGTTAAATAACACTATGTTATTTAACATAGTTAACATAGTCCTAGTGTCGGATACAAAAGAAATTCCTCTTCAAAGGTTTGGCTTGTTCAGCTCTTTGTTCTTTGTTCCCTACTTCCAAGGCCAAACTAACTTCCTTATCCTTTGTGCCTCCCTGTCTTGGTTTCAGTAAACAACTTTCCTGCCAGTCCTTATCTACAGAGCACACATCTGTTACCTACTCTGTAAATTACCTCTCCCATTGCCACAACTCTTCCCTCCAAAACTGCCCTTCCTGCCAGTGTCACCGTATTCCTATACCTTTCAAGTTAGCCAGTCGGGTTCAACTTAGATTGTGCAGTCCAACTCCAGCCAGTGGAGGCAGGACACAGTAGCAGGGACAAACTACATAAGAAACTAAAACCCCTTCACTCCTTTGTTCAGTGTGCTCTCCTGGTGACCAAACTTGCAAGCAGCACCCTTCTGCAGAAGTAAATTTGCCTTACTGAGAAATCCTTTAAGTGCTCGTTTTCTTTGTGACTCCGAGCTTTACTTTCAACACGTAGCTAGAGCAATCAGACAACAGAAGGAAGAAAAGGGCATCCAAATTGGAAAAGAAGAAGTCAAATTACTCTTGTTTGTAGATTATATGATCCTATATTTGGAAAATCCTGAAGACTCCACAAAATTATTAGAACTGATAAACAAATTCAGTAAAGTTGCAGGATACAAAATCACCATACAAAACTCAGTAGCATTTCTAAATGCCAATAGTGAACAATGTGACAGAAAAATAAAAAAAGCAATCTCATTTACAATAGCCACACATAAAATTAAATGTCTAGGTATCAATTTAACCAAAGAAGTGAAAAATCTCTATAATGAAAACTATAAAACACTCTTGAAAGAAATTGATGAAGACATCTAAAAATGGAAAAATATTCCATGTTCATGGTTTGGAAGAATGAATATTCTTCAAATGTCCATAATACCCAAAGCCATCTATGAATTCAATGCAATCCCTATCAAAATACCAATGACATTCTTCACAGAAATAGGAAAATCAATCCTAAAATTTATATGGAACCATAAAAGACACAGAATAGCCAGAGGTATCCTCGCAAAAAGAACCAAACTGGAGGAATCATATTACCTGACTTCAAATTATACTACAGAGTGGCCAGGCACAGTGGCTCACGCCGGTAATCCCAGCACTTTGGGAAGCCAAGGCAAACAGATCACGAGGTCAGGAGATCAAGACCATCCTGGCTAACACAGTGAAACCCCATCTCTACTAAAAATAAAAATAAAAAAAATTAGCTGGGCATGGTGGTGGGCACCTGTAGTCTCAGCCACTCAGGAGGCTGATGCAGGAGAATGGCATGAACCTAGCAGGTGGAGCTTGCAGTGAGCCAAGATTGTGCCACTGCACTCCAGTCTGGGCAACAGAATGAGACTCTGTCCCAAAAATATATATATATACACATACACACACACACACACTACAGAGTTACAGTAACCAAAACAGCATGGTACTGGCATATAAACAGACACAGAGACCAATGGATCAGAATAGAGAACCCAGAAACAAATTCACACACCTACAGTGAACTCATTTTTGACAAAGATGCCAGGAACATTCACTGGGGAAAAGACAGTCTCTTCAATAACTGGTGCTAGGATGAAACTAGACCCCTATTTCTAGCCATATGCAAAACGAATCAAAATGAATTAAAGATTTAAATCTAAAGACCTCAACCCATAAAACTACCTCAAGAAAATATTGGGGAAACTCTCCAGGACATTGGTCTGGGCAAAAATTTCTTTAGCAAATTTCTTACCCCAGAAACACAGGCAACCAAAGAAAAATTGACAAACGGGATCACATCTAGTTAAAAAGTTTCTGCACAGAAAAGGATACAATCAACAAAGTGAAGAGACAACCCACAGGGTAGGAGAAAATATTTGTAAACTACCCATCTGTCAAGGAATTAATCACCAGAATATCTAAGTAGCTCAAACAACTCTACAAGACAAAATCTAATAATCTGATCAAAAGGTAGGCAAAACATTTCAATATACATCTCTCAAAAGAAGACATATAAATAAAACACAGGCAGAGGAAGAAGTGTTCAACATCACTGATCATCAGATAAATGCAAATAAATACTACAATGAGATATTATCTCACCCCCAGTTAAAATGGCTTATATACCAAAGACAGGCAATAACAAATGCTGGTGAGGTTGTGGAGCAAAGGGAATTCCTTGTACACTGTTGGTGGCAATATAAATTAGTAGGACCACTATGAAGAACAGCTTGGAGGTTCCTCAAGAAACTAAAAATTGAGTTACCATGTGATAAAGCAATCCCACTCCTGGGTATATACCCAAAATAAAGGGAACAGTTTACCTAAGATTATCTGTACTTCCATGTTTGTTGCAGCACTGTTTACAATAGCCAAGACTTGGAAGCAATGTAAGTGTCCATCGACAGATGAATGCATAAAAAAAGTGGGACATACACACAATGGAGTACTACTCAGCTATAGAAAGAACGAAATCCAGTCATTTGCAACAAAATGAATTGAACTGGAGATCATTATGTTAACTGAAATAAGCCTGGCACAAAAAGACAAACATTGCATGTTCTCACTTATTTGTGGGATCTAAACATCAAAACAATTGAATTCATGGACACAGTGAGTAGAAGGATGGTTACCAGAGGCTGGAAAGGGTGGTGTAGGTGTGGGGGTGGGGGGATGGGGATAATTCATGGGTACAAAAAATAGTTAAAAAGAATGAATAAGACCTACTATTTGATAGCACAAAGGGTGACTATAGTCAATTACTTAACTGTACCTTTTAAAATAACTTAAATAGTATAATTGAATGGTGTGCAATTCAGTGAATAAAGGCTTGAGGGAATGGATGCTGCATTCTTCCTTATTTGCTTATTTCACATTGCATGCCTGTACCAAAGCATCTCATGTACCCCATAAATGTATATACCTACTACATACCCACAGAAATTAAAAATTAAAAAAGTAAATACACTTTTATACATCAAAAAACTCTAGCAAAGAAATACCTCAATCAGATTAAAAACTGATTTAAATCAATATAGGGATATTTTGTTAATATTTTAATGTGTGCTTCAATGGAAAAATTGTAATATGAGATATAATGTTCTTTTTGAAAATTAGTGGCCTTTCTATACATAAAAATTTTCCATTAACTTATTTTAGTTTGAAAATGTAAAACCCATTCTACCTTGAATCCATTGCAGCGTCTTGTTTTCTTTTTCTCTGAAGATGCTGACTCTGCTGTTTTATTCAAATGTTGATGTTGGCCCATGATTAAACTACAGATACCATGTGAACGTTTTTAATTGCTGCTGATGCTTGGTTTGAAATGATCACCTGTTAAAAAAGAAAAAGTGTAATTTATTTTACTTTAACAATATACAATTTAAAAATAGGAAAAGTCACAAGCTCCATATCAATCAATCATTCTCTAATATTCATTCAGGGCCTGCTATTTCCTGACCACAGGATGAGGGCAATGCCAGACACAGAGGAAGAAAGACAGACACGAACTCAGAGCCTAAAGAGATCATAATTTACTTAGAAAAATAATTTTTATAGAGAGAAATTTGATTTGAAACAAGTAAATAATATAAAACCACACACTAGATTGTATGAACAAAAATTTTAAATTATAGAAATTAAAATTTTTATATTTTCTACATAGCCAGATTATAAGATTTATGAAAGCACATTTATGTTTATGTTATCCTTAGAAGTTTGTAAAGTGACAGATGGTGTCTTGCACATAGTGGATACTCAAAATGGGTTGAAAAATAATGTAAATAATAATAATTAGGATAGCCTCTGTCAGTTTCATAGAGGAGATATCTATGGAACCAGGCTCAAAAAGCAGAAAAGTTTGGATTTGTTTAAAAGAGCAAAATGTATTCCAAGTATCTCTCAGAGAGACTTTGGCCATGCTTGACCTTACCATCATCATGATCTTACCATATTTGGGATTTATCCATTTATTTTTCAAGAGAAAATACATGCATGTAGTTGAAAATCCAAAAAAAAAAAAAAAAGCAAAGAGTCTTCCTATAATCTTCGTCCCCTTATCCAGAAATCTGATATGCATTTTTTTTTTTTTTTTTTTTGAGACGGAGTCTCACTCTGTCGCCCAGGCTGGAGCACACTGGCGTGATCTGGGCTCACTGCAAGCTCTGCCTCCTGGGTTCATGCCATTCTCCTGCCTCAGCCTTCCAAGTAGCTGGGACCACAGGCGCAGGGCGCCTGCCACCATGCCTGGCTAATTTTTTTGTACTTTTAGTAGAGACGGGGTTCACTATGTTAGCCAGGAAGGTCTCGATCTCCTGACCTCGTGAGCCGCCCCTCTTAGCCTCCCAAAGTGCTGGGATTACAGGCGAGAGCCACCGTGTCTGGCCCTGATATGCATTTTTAAGTAAATACATAATATTTTCCCTTTTAATATAAATGTAAGTATACCAGTACCACTGCACTCTACCTTTTTATCTTCTGTATATACTTTATATTAATAAAAGTCCTCCTCATTTTGCTTATGGTAGCAGGGTATTCTGTTCTTCATAATATATGTAACTAGTTCCATATTGATAACTATTTAGGTTATATCTAATTATTTCATATTAGAAAATGTTCTTAATATGTTATATGTCATTTTATTTATGTGTGGTCATATCTGTAGGATACATTCCTACAAGTGAAGTTTTGAAGTGGAAGCATAAGAGAAATCATAAGTTTGAGAGTTATTAAGCCCTTATTTTAAAGACCAGTAAAATGAGTCAACTTTTTATGTCAGTTGATTCTTTTATATAGAACAGTGGATTATTTATAGAGGTTTAGAGATGTATTGTTGTTCATATATATGTGCATAACACATATTTATGTATATAAAGTATATAAGCAGATACATAACATAGATACGGGTATATGTTATGTATATAGCACATATATGTAGATATATGCTATGTAGTTGCTTATATAGATACCTTAGATATGTGAATATCTAAGTATGTAAATATCTAAGATATCTATATAAGTGTCCGATTTGTAATAGTACACTGATTATACAATACGTATGATATAGGTTATATGTACAATTGATTGTCACTTTCTGCAATAATTTTGTTCCATAAAGTTGCTGGGAACACTGATTTTGCAAATATTAATCTGTCATTCCTAGAAGAGATACAGGTTTAGGTGACTGTGCCTTTGGTCACAACATTTTCATCAACGGATCAATACATAACTTAATACATAATGTCTTCTGTATGTTTTTGTTCAAAGACACTTTAGTATATACTGTTGATTCATTAACATTGAATTAGTGGCCAATAGCACTGTATTTCATGCCTGAAGGAAACTTACATAGCATATGTACCTCTTCTGTCAGGCACTCTTGGAGGAAGGAACATGGGACAACACTTCAGGGCTATGCTTGAGGCCAACTTAAAACAGTAAACTCAGCATCACAAAGCACAACCATGGAAACAATGTGGCGATAAATACACTGTGAAGTTTATAGTATGGGAGCTGAGACAGGAAGGCAGAGCTTCACTTTGTTCCATCTCAACCGAAACAGACCAGCTCAAAATTTTTCACCACTCTGCTCATGCATGCCAATGATCACAAAAGCCCAGCAGTATTAATTTTGGTGTCACAAATAAATTTTAGTGTTTAGACAAATTTTCTAATATAGAATCTGTGAATAATGAAGATCTACTGCATATTTTATGCATCAATTTACTCAACAAGGGTTTATTGATTCTCTATTATAAATGTATAAAAACCATAATATATATCATGCATATTTAGTGAATAATGCATGAATATGGAAATAATAAATATCTAAAGATAATATCACTTATGTATATGTGACTGTATATAAATATACTCACGAATGCAGAAACCCATACCTATGTATCGCTAAGAGAAGTTCAATTAATCCACTTTTTGTATGTCTTTTGTAGGTGAGGTGAGGAAAAAATCAATAGTTTGGTGGTCTCAAGGTAATAAGCAGCCCCTTAATAAATTTACACCACTTTTTCCATGAATATCCCTTTCTGGTTTTTTTTCCTCATAATTTAAAAGTTGGAAGATACTTATTTTTTACCAATTAATTCTATAATTGCAAATCTTTTTGAATGACTTGCAAGATAGATAGTCTTCCTTTAGCTTTAGACTTTTCTTTTTCTTTATACTAAACAAATATTCTTGATGGCTTGAAAACTATTATCTCACCCCTCAAGCCTTGTTTCTTTCAACTGATTAACTTCTAGTTGTCCTGTCTTCCAGCTTGCTTTGTTTCATATGCATATCATGTCCATTCTTGGAATCATTCATATATCCCTCTTACAACAAAAATAAAACTTACACTTCCTATTTGAGAGTCTTCACAGCCTAAATCAATCCTTGTTTTCAGTCCCATTCCCAATACAACCATAGGCACTTGCAGACTTATGGAACCACTGTCCCAAGAAGAAAGCTCTCTATCTTCATGTATATGTCTTCCATTCCTGGAATGTCCTTCCCTATCTCTTGGCTGTAATGTGGCTCCAAATCACACCACTTTAATGTTTCCCTATTTACCTCCAGTTGAAATAACCTCTCTCATCCTTCTGTACCACTGGAGAACATACCTGAATAATCACTACTTTTTTCTGTTATTTCCCTACTTTCCAAGACAACTATTACACACCTCTCTCTTTTATGTTCAGATAAAATACTTAGCCAGAAAAATAGGAAATATGGGCACTTGGTTCCTCATCTCTCAGAAAGGTTAAATTGTATCAAGTAGGCCGAGCACAGTGGCTCACGCCTATAATCCCAGCACTTTGGGAGGCCGAGGCGGGCAGATCACTTGAGGTCGGAAGTTCGAGACCACCCTGACCAACATGGAGAAAACCCCGTTTCTGCTAAAAATACAAAGTTAGCTGGGTGTGGTAGATTACACGCACATGCCTGTAATCCCAGCTACTCTGGAGGCTGAGGCAGGAGAATCACTTGAACCCACAAGGACTAGGTTGTGGTGAGCCGAGATTGCGCCATTGCACTCCAGCCTGGGCAACAAGAGCAAAACTCCTTCTCAAAAAAAAGAAAAAAAGTATCAAGTAAGTACAAAGTACCTAGGAAACTGGAATATCAATTTAGTCTTGAATAAATACCACACTTTTTACTTCACTGTAGCATTTTAAGCCTTATTTAGAAGCATTTAATATATTTTGCTCTGAACATATTATTTCTGAATTCCAAATTATTGACATAAATAAATTTTGAGGACACAATATGTTTATAAGACAGAGCCACAGGCATTTGGATATAGCATTACAACTCTTCCCTGAACAGAACAGGTCAGTTCTTCACAGTTTGACTGGGCTGAAGTAGACGGCAGAATCTTACCGGCCTCTGCTTATTTCTGTTAAGCTTTTCATATTTAAGGGATTATAGAAAACCAGTGCAGGTCAAGTGACCCAGTTTCTAGCATGTATCTATGGAACTGAGGTGGATAAAAGGGAAAACAGCATTTCTGAACTTCTTATATTGTTCAGAGGAGAGACTTTCTGCATCCCCACCTTACTTTCATAATAAAAACAATTGTGTTATCAGGGAAGCAACCTTCCTGAATGGGTGAAGGGGACCAATATTTACTGAGCTGTTGATTCTTTCCAAGAGCTGTGTTCAGAAGATTTTTTTATCTTATCTGAACAGAGATAAAAAAGTTATCTAGGGTATCTCTTTCCCCTCACCCTAAATCAAACTTGAGTTGAATGGAGGAAAGTGAGGGGATTAAGTGACTTTGAAACACATTTTCCACCCTCCACCCAACCACTCCGACTTATTCAGTTAAAGTGAAATCAAAGAAATAGAGAGCCTGGTATAGTAATTCTACACAGTTTATGCAAATAATTGTCTTACAGTGTATTTTAAGAGAGTAACTACAAGTCCATCCTTTCAGACTTCATGTTTCATTTGTTTAGAAAGCAATAGAAATAGGACTTCAATCTTTATTTTTCACTTTATAAAGGTACGATTTACTCTAATTTATCTTTGAGTACATAAATCTGAGGCTCTTCTATTTCTGGAAGGGATAATTACTAGGCTTTTAGGGCTCAGAACACTAAGTGTGAAGAAGATGCAGAGCATAAAATTTGTAATATTTACCATAACTACCAAAACATTTTCACTGAAATTTGTTAAAATTTCTTACATAAAAGAAATGTTTTAGACAACCTCGACAGTTCTTACCTGGACTTTGAATGCTACAGCAACTGCAACAAGTCCATCCTTTTTCTGATGTTAAAGTCTCACTTTAAATGGTTAGTTGGCTTTTTGTTTGTTTGTTTTTATGAGTCCAATGATGATTAACCATCTTATTAGGTCAATGTCCTAGACAAATAGAAAAATATACCTAGCTAATTCTAGGAGTTCAACGCAGAAGCCTATCTTTTAAAGGTTATATCAATAATTTCTCAGAATGTACACATTATTTTTATGTTAACATTAGAAAATAAATTATTTCTGGGAATGACATTTCTTATTCAATTAAGTTGGTTGCATAAGATTTTTTTTCTTTAGAAATACAAATACAACACATTATCCAAAGTATTTAAAACTGTTCCAAATAGAAAATAAGTCAAGGCGATTTTTAAAAATATCCCTACAGGTTACATTAGCATTCAGAAAATAAAACATACCCTCTCTGCTTGTTACGTGTGTATGGATCTAATACGACATACATGGACACTGGATATCTCACATGGAATACTAAATTCTTCTAAATGACAAAAATCAAGACTGGTTTGTATGATATATTCCTTACATCAAAGCTTAAAGGACGAATGGTCTCCTTCTATTGACTTGGTTTTTAGAAAATGGAAGACCTTGACTCAGTTGAAACTTTTCTTAAGTAAAGATGAAGTCAAATTAATTAATTCAGTAACTCAAACATATTTGACTCCCTACTATATCCCAGGCATATGGCTGTGTTTTAGAAGTGTACCATAATAATATAAATAATAAACAGACTCTTCTCTCACATGAATATATATATACACACACACATGCATGAGTGTATGTACATATGTATGTATGTGTATGTGTGTATGTATAGAGCAAAGAGAGAATGCATATATGAAAACATTGTTACCCCTTATCACTGACAGGACAGTTGTTGATACAGTTGCAGCAATATGTATTTAATTCTATATCACAGTTATTTGATAGATTAGGTTTTTGTTTTTGTTTTTGTTTTTTGAGACGGAGTCTCACTCTGTCGCCCAGGCTGGAGTACAGTGGCGCGATCTCAGCTCACTGCAAGTTCTGCTTCCCGGGTTCATGCCATTCTCCTGCCTCAGCCTCCCGAGTAGCTAGGACTACAGGCGCCCGCCACCAAGCCCGGGTAATTTTTTTGTATTTTTAGTGGAGATGGGGTTTCACCATGTTAGCCAGGATGGTCTCAATCTCCTGACCTTGGGATCCACCTGACTCAGCCTCCCAAAGTGCTGGGATTACAGGCATGAGATCCACACCCGGCCTAGATTAGTTATACACCTGGTTAATTCATGGAAGTATTAGAACAATGAAAGGAACCAGAGTGTGGAGGGAGAGAAGAATTAGAAAATGTGGGGAACACTGAAATGTAGACCTGGGGCAGGGAAAATTAGAAGTAGGCTCCCGAACACGCCTCTGTTGAGTCAGAATCTACTGGGGAGCCTTTGTCAAAAGTGCCATCCAGCCCCACACCCAAGAGATTCTGACTCAGGAGTTCGGAGATTATGTTTTTAAATAAGCACTTAGAATAATTTTTACATACTGTCAGCTTTTGAGAACCCTTATAGCAGAGATACTAAACATTTATTATCAATTTTATGGCTTTTCTTTTATTCGGAGTAGGAAGACAGTTTGGGTGTTCTCATGCTAATGGTTTTCTCGTCACACATCCATTTCATTAAAGACACGTCAATTTCATTTGGGACAAATATATGCATAGAATGAAGATAAAACAGTACAAATTAACTGAGAAACTTACTAACTCCTAAACTAAAGCTATCAGTGGTAAAATTCTGGAATGTTTTCAGAAGTCGAAGAGCATTCTCTGTGCCCTTTCTCCTTCCTACATAAGTAATTAGACTTTCCTTTTTGTGGGACTTGTGGAAAAAATAAGAGTGGTCAGAGGAAAGACATTGCAACACTTTTCTCAAGATAAATATTATGCTAACAGCCAGGGATCAATAGAACTCCAAATTTGCTTACAACCATCTGCTTATGTTTGTTGTTGCAATAATCATCACAGTTCTGATGAAATATTATGGGCTTTGAAGTTTGATAAACTTTGATAGCAATGTCTCTGCTACTTAACAGCAGTATAAACTTCAGTAGGTTATTTCACCATTCTAAGCATCAATGCTTTCATCCATTAAGTGGGAAGGCTATAGTTGTGATAAGGATTTGCTCTCTGTAAACTGCCTCACCTAGTAGCAGACACATTATAGATTCGAAACCTAAATAGAGTCATTGTGTGGCGTTTGCATATTGTCAATTTTTAAAGCAGTTAACTCTTATTAAAAGAGTAAAAGTCAAGTCTCTGAGACATGTCCCCAGCAATTTTTCCTAATAGTTTTTAGTCTCAGACTCTCGGATAGGTATTGGGTGCATATCCCAAGAAGGAGACTTCAGGCTCAGAGCAGACCTGCCATTGCCTACCCACCTCACCTTCCTTAGCTGGTCAAGAGGTAATTACAGAAAGCTGCACTCCCTGGAAAGAACCCCTATGTCTCCATACCCACTAATGGTCAAAGTTCTGGCATCATTATGACTAATCTTATGGCAATTATCTCTCTTAATGGCAGTCACCATCGTAAGAAGGCAGGCGCCAGGTGCGGTGGCTCATGCCTGTAATTCCAGCACTTTGGGAGGCTGAGGCAGGTGGATTACGAGGTCAGGAGATTGAGACCATCCTGGCTAACACGGCGAAACCCTCTCTCTATTAAAAATACAAAAAAATTAGCCAGGCGTGGTGGCACGTGCCTGTAATCCCAGCTACTCAGAGCTACTCAGGAGGCTGAGGCAGGAGAATCGCTTGAACCTGGGAGGTGGAGGTTGCAGTGCGCCGAGATCGCACCACTGCACTCCAGCCTGGGTGACAGAATGAGCCTCCGTCTCAAAAAAAAAGGAACTTCCTGATCACTCATCACCTCTTGTCTAATCCCAGCGTGGCTATGCACATTTTTGCTTTTGCCCCCATCTCCTATCTCTCTCCCAATCTTGAGCCAAAACTCTTTTCTTGAGCTTTCTGGAATGCATAACTAATAACGAATGAAATTCTCCATACTTTCAGCCTCTTGTAAGAATTCTTCTGTTTCTGTTTTTCCCTAACTCTAACTTGGCCCTTCGCTGCCTCTTCTGCAGCCGGGATAAATGTGGGTTGCTTTATGTTCCATATTGCTCCAAACCAGACGACTGGTTTCCAATTTGCCTTACTTTGCTACCTTCTTCTCATTTTCCCACCCTTTAACCTCAGAATTTATAGTTTTGAATCTCATATCAAAAGATTCTGCCATTTATTCTTCTTCTTGAGATCATGAACAAACCCTCAATCACTCTCACTCACTTCACAACAATTTTAGTGCTTGGTTCAAAGGAAATCTGTCAAAATATTACTTCTGTTTTAATTATTGGTGATTTCAATGATCATGAAAATAATCGTTTTAATTCTCTAACTTCTTGGTTTTCTTTTAACCCTCCCTTCTTCAATGATCTTACCTTCTACTTACTCCTATGTAATATGTAATAACAGCAAGCCCTCCTTAATATCAGTTTCAAGGAATGGAGCACTACTGCCTATCTTTCTAGCTCACACTCAGTAGTACCCTGGATACAACAATGCTTTCACTGACTAGTATCTATAATCTATAGGTTAATTTTGCCACAGATTTCACTGTTTCTTATCTCATTCTGCCTGTTAACCTGCGGAGTGGATGGAGCTGAAGAAGATCCAGCAACCATGCTGACTTTAAATTTATTATCATAAAGCCAAAATTGACCTTTTATTTTGCCTAGAAGTCACAGTTGTTTTGTTTTTTTTTTTCTAATCCGTGTCATTCATTTTCTGAGTAACTGTTTTGTACCTTCATATCGCTCCTCAAAATTCTAACATGTGGTTTCCTCTCTCTACCTTCAGCTGATGACCTATTTCACCGCCTAAAATAAAGAAGAAACCTTCCAAAAGCTCCTGGACCACATCTATACAGGCAAAGCTTCAGTACCACATGTTCCACCTTGATGAATGTCCATGTGTAAGCTAAGGCCAACCTACACTTGTGTATCAGATTGCCTCTTTTCCTTGTGTTGGCAAGGATATCACTTTCCCCTTTCTAAAGAAATATCCCCAGCAACAGGTTAGCACGCTGTCATTTTCCCGTCTCTCAATATCTCTCTTTGGCTTCCACTCTTTATATTGATATTGCCCAATTTCTGTGCAATTTTTACAGAAAAAAAAGTCTCATTTATAATTCTTGTTTTCAATCTCTCTCCTCACATTCTCTCTTGAACACACACCTATCAGGTTTTTGCCCCCAACTTCCTAATAGAGTTATTCCTCCTAAGTCACAAGTTACCTAAATGCAACATGTAATTATCCTCATCTGATTTGAACTATTCACAGCATTTTTCAGAGCTGAGGATTCCCTCCCCTGGCAATACTTTCCAGGGCACTATTCTTTGTGGTTTGCCTCATCACTTTCACTGACTTCTCCATTTACGTGTCCTTTACTAATTTTTTTTCTTTTTTCATTTCTTAGGCTTCTTAATTGAAGCATTTCAGTATTCAACTTTTGCGTGTATGTGTATGACCTTGTCGAGTCTCACGTCTTAAAATATCATCTCTACATTCATAATTGCAAAATTTGTATCTGTGGCCAAAGCCTTACTCCTGAACTTTAGATTTATTTCATCTCCTCACCAGTTCCCTGTATATCTGTAATAGGAATCTCATACTTAACATTTTCTGAACAGGTATCCTCATCTTCCTTTCTCAAACCTCTCCTCCTGGAATATCCTTATTTTAGTACAGGCAATTCTATCCTTCCAGTTGTACACACACATGCAAAATATTGAAATAATTCCTATTCCTCTGTTGGTCATGCTCATAGCAGGCTCAAATTTCAAATCATACCCAGAATCTGACTACTTTTCAACACCTCCACAAGTTTTACCCTGGTCCGAATTATTGCCATACCCTCAAGCTTGTACCTCAGCTTGTCTCCTGACCTCTCACAGCCCTGCTTCCCCAACCTCACTCCCCTGTGTAAATCTGAAAACAGCAGCCAGGGTCATCATGTCAAAACA